CTGCCAAGAAAACTGCAGGGACTTGTCCATGGAGTCACACTGGCTTGAAGGCTCAAAACACCCTGGTTTATTTCATTGTAAGGTTGTTTTTTGGGGCCTCACATGACTGTATACTGCCTGATTTATTATTTTGTCCAATCTTAAAGCACTGATTGTTTTGTCTTAAACAAAGGAGAAGAACAATGTGGACCTATCAATTGTCCCAACTAAATCGGCTGAATAATCAAGGCCAGCAGCTGCAGAACTACTGGAAGAAAAGTTGTTTACCCATCGCAAATAGACAGTGATTGAAAACAAAGAAATAATGATCTGTTATTACACACCAAGTCCAAGAAGAAGAGGATATTTAAAATGAATGCACCAGTTCTGGAAAGAACAATATTCAGAATCAGAAATAACAAAACAGAGGCTAGCAGATCAATATTGATTTGTAATATGAAATAAAGTATTCACAGAAGCAGATTGGAAGAACTGCAAAGGTTTACCAAGAGCAAAGAAATCAAAGCCTTGCCAGAAGTAACTCAAAATGTAGAGGCAAAACAAGTCCAGCAGAGATATACAATTGTTTTCATTTGGAAACCAGGCACCCTCTTCTCTGCCTCAGGAAGAAAAAAGACCTCTAACTAAAGAAGTAAAAGAATTGAAGCAAAGAATAACTGAGCATCACAAAAACACCAGAATAAAGCTGCCTGCATTGAAGCTTCTTCCAAAGAAATAGCTAGCAAAAGTGTTAAAGGATGCAAATACTGCAATATCAAGTATAGGCATCAATTCACTGCAAGAAACAAGCCAACTATTGTATAGCACAGCTGCAATTATAACTGAATACCTGGGATGCAAAATCAACAGAGAAGAAAAACAACAACAAATCATGCACGACAAAAATGGAAAATTAGACTTGAAAATAAGGTCAGCAAGTTAATCTCAGATGCAAGCAAGTTAGAACAGATGAAATTAAAAAACATGAAGAACAAGAAGACCAAAGGCTATCTAACCAAGAAATCAAGGAAGCATTGGAAAAAATAAAGCAGAAAATAACAGCTATAGCCAAGAAGATCATCAGATACGAAGCTCGAATTGCAAATTATAGGCAGAACCTCAAATTTCATCCAATCAGGAATGCAGTGAACCAGTCAGTACCTGACAAGGAAGAAACAGTGCAGTTCTGGGAGCAGATATGGGTAACCCAAAGAAATACAACAAGGATGCAGCTTGGTTAAAAGAGGTGATAAGAATAAAAAAGAAGTTGAAATGAAAGAAATAATAATAACAGCAGAAATGGTAGAGAAAAGAGCAAGGAAGATCAAGAATTGGTCAGCCCAAGGTGAAGATGAACTGCATGGTTTTTGGTTGAAATACCTAACTCATCTATATCCACTCGTTGCCAAGCAGTTTAACAACATACTACAAGGAAGTTAAATTGAAGAGTGCCTAACATCTGGGAAAACCTACTTGGTAATGAAATATCCAGCAAAAGGGGCAGCATCAGGCAATACTCAATCCCATGTGTACTTTGTTCCTAGTCTAAATAAAGACATTTTAAATAAGGAAATGAAAAAAACCCTTTCTCCTTCTTTGGAATCATATTAAAAGGAAAAATATACCTGACCATGGTAAATAGTGATGTACTTGAGCAGGAAATATACATTTTGTAATTTTCCCTGCTTCCCAATTCTGTTAATTGAGAGTTGAAAAGAAATATAAATCCCACCTTTTTAAATATTTGAATTTTCCTAATATATGAATTTATTTGTTGTCTTTGCTGTTGTTATGAGAAAACAGAGGCTTTCTGTGCATAGCCATCTCTGATTCAATCCATGATAGAATAGTTTAATGTGTGAAAACATAAGTTAGGATCTACAAACTACAATGGCTGAATTCATTCAAAATACTATATACATCAAACTATGTTTTAGTGAAATTAATTCCTCTTTTTCAGTCACTTTGTATAAAAGCATATATCAAGTTTCGAGGTCGTCTCAAATAAATTGCATTTCAAACAAAGTCTTTGAAGAAAAACTCCAATTTATTAAGCACGACATTCTAATTCCGACTCCATCGCAGCCAACACTGACTTCCAGACCCAAAACCCTCCCTTTCTTTTCCCCACTCCCCTGCACTCATTGGCCATCTTCCAAGTCACTCTACCCCTAATCTACTGCTCCAGCTCAAAGGAATTTCCCCCCTCCCATCCCATCTCCTAGGGGATGTTATCTCCAGGGAAAATAAGTAGGTGAAAAGTCAAACGTCCCTTTCCAGACACATCCGCTTCTCCTTATGTCAGCACTAGAGTAAATGCAGCTTGAAGTGCTGACAGCATAGATATTACTACAGCAAAATGACAGCTGTCTGGTGATTCCACTGTGGAAATATTGTCCCACTATTTTGTACAAGAACATAGGTTGTGATTTTGACATCATACAATGAATAGCCTTGTGCATATCTTTTTAAAAGTAGAGTCTTGTATTTTTTATTTATTTTAATAATAGGATTTCATGCCTACACAACATTTTGTTTTGCTTATTGTTTTGGTTATTGCAAATGGCAAATTGATTTCCCCAATATTAGTTGAATATTTACCAATTGCCACTAATTTTATCCAGATTCTGCAGATTATTTGTTTAAAAAGTAATAAAAGAGTACTCTTTGAATTAACATTTAAATTACTGCAGGGTTCGAATCTTGCCAAGGCTCAAGGTTGACTCAGCCTTCCATCCTTTCTAAGGTAGGTAAATTGAGGACCCAGTTGTGGGGGCAATAAGCTGACTTTGTATAAACATACAAAAGGATGAGGGCTATTGCTGAGCACATTGTAAGCCGCCCTGAGTCTTCGGAGAAGGGCGGCATATAAATCAAATTAAAAAAAAAAGAAAAAGAAAAATATATGAAACCACCACCTGCTTTGTACAACTTTCTATATTTACATTTATAGTTAAATGAATGTGTATAGTCCATAATGCCTTTGCCACTGCTTTGATAGTCTTCTATTCTAATAGGAACAATGCTTTCCTATTAGAGTTGTTCTACTTCTAATGTGTATGAAGATAGTTAATAAGAATTGGTTTCAGGTATTATCTTCGCATGTTCTAACACTTAAATAATACTGAACAGCCCCAATGATAATCATGCTGATGGTATGACTAAAGAGGTTGCTCTCATGTTTGCTATTTAAATGTTTGCAGAGTTTCCTGTCTCTGTGCAGAATTGTTTTTGTATTGTAAGAGTTCCTCTACAAGCACTCTAAACAGGGAGACTCTTTCTTTGCTATTGTCACCAATCTGATTTGTAGACAGAAGGGTTTGCTTATTGTTGGTCCCATCTTGAGCCTGCAAATGTAATGCCTGGAATCTGGTGGAAACGATCTCCCAACAGAAATTATGTGGCCAATATTACCACTGTCTTTCTCTGAGTTTATCAACATAATTAATTACTATCTATTTATTTTAAAATGTTTGCACTGCTTTTTGTTTCAAAGTTTCAATATATGATATTTTATTATTGTAGTAAAACAACAAATCAATTTAATAAAATGTAACTGAATTTTTTTAAAAAAATAATAAATGTAACATTTATTAAGGTTTAATCAATTTAACTGAAAGATTGGAAAATCTCTTTCAAAAAGGAGCTTCTTCCTTTTAAATCAGCGTTATTGTGAGCTTTTCTATATTTTGAGCACCGCTTTCATGGCTCATCTTTTTTCCCCATATATAAGTGAAATGAGTAATAATGAAGATCTTGGGGGCATGATCACAATATATAGACAAATGCACACAATGACTGAATTCATGAAGAAAGGTTTACGCTATTTTCAAAACTGCTGCCATTGTTTTCATATATTTCAAGAACAGTGCATTTTTTAAACTTTTGAAATATATCATTATGCTTACATCTCATCTATCATTGCATTTTAGATATGTCTGGGATTCAGTGATGAATGTTTAATTGATTCATGATCATATTGCATCATACGAGTGTCTCTTGAAGGTTCATTAGTCTCAGATACTCAGTAACTGCCTCCCTGTAATTTATTATGGAAATTTGGGAAATGACATTAGAAGTTTAAAGCCATTTACAACTTGATATCATATCTAAAGCCCATCATACATTTATTTCCCTAAAAATAAATAGGTTCCTGGAACTTCAGTTGCACTGTTAGGAGGAAAAAAATGATGCCCTATGTATTTTTCCCTTGAAGCTATTTTGCTGATTAGGTATGTAAATACTACTATATATTATTCATTCCCTAACATGCTATTTGATGAGAAAATGCAACAGATAATAAAATAGTGGAGGTTTACCTACAGTATCTTTTGGATCATTTGGTAAACTGAGAAGTATTTAATTTCAGATGTTCCACTAATCTATTTAGTTTAAGATGATTTCATTTTAATCTACCAGCAGCACAATCCTACAATCCAGGGAGATGTCCTATTAATACTGTAGCGGTTCAAAGGAAACACTCTGCTTCTGAACAATACAAGTAATAAACTGTGTGAGGGCAATGATGGTAGGAATTCAGCAATGCAGTTCAGAGCACAAATATTATTGTTTTTAATCAACAAGGTTGGTAAACTCATCCCAATATGAGTATTTATACTCATAATGGTAGATTTAGTGATTGTCTTTTCAGTAATAAATAAGATGTGTTTATTCTATCTCATATTTTAATCAACTAGTGCATTCATTTTTAAAATACTGCTATTTAGAAACTTCTTTTCCCCCCACTGTTTCAATGTTATATTTAAATACTACTTTTATGGTACATTTAATTGATTTTAGTCAATAGCAAACCATTCATAATTTTTTTTAAAAAGATAATATATAACTTTTCTTTTAAGGAAGTTTTTATATGAAGTGTTATTAACACTGTTATTCTATTCTTCAAAGTATCAATGCTAAGCAGGTGCATAAAATGGTGTTTCATAATCTATTTCACAGACTTTTTAAATTTCAGAGGTCACTATTCAATATACAAGAATTCTCATAGCGCTTATCCGTACCTTCATAAACATAGTGTTTCTCAACCTTGGCAGCTCTATGATGGGAATTCTGAGATTTGTAGTCCACACATCTTAGAATTGTGAAAGTTGAAAAACACTGCGAAAGCAAAACAATACATTAGTCTTGATAATATTATGAGCTCTAAAAAGGGCATTGCCTATTTATAGCTTCTTTTTTTAGACGGTTGTGTCCATTTTTCTAACTGTCCCTTTATTTAGAAACTAGAAAACATTGCAAACATCTTCAATGTTAGAAGTTTCTTTTAAATAATTTCTTATCCTTTTGTAGAGTAAAAACTTCTCATAGCAACATACTGCATCTTAGACATTGTTTGTCCCTTGTCCCTTGTCCTTTGTCCTCAGCCAAAATCAATCTGGTATATAGCATAGGAAGGCAATGAGGTCTAAAAGAGTGTTACAATTTTTCTTGCAAAGCATTTTTATGACTGTGAAGATGTGAATACTCATATGTAAAGTCAAGGTTAAATTGCTTAGCACATTGTAAGCCGCCCTGAGTCTCTGGAGAAGGGCGGCATATAAATCAAAAATTTTTTAAAAAATCTCTTTCTTCTATGTTTTACTTGCATTGTATATATTTCTGCTTTTTTTCTCAAAGCTCAACTATCAAAGGGGAATTTTGCTATGTGTGCTGCTAGAAATGAATTTGGAATTTTTCGAAAGTAAATCTGTGGTGTATCTAAGTCAGAAGATAATTTAGAAGAATAATTAGAAGAATTAGAATTAGAAGAATAAAATCTGACTAGAATTTATTTTTCCATCAGTGGGAGAGAAATATTTTATAGGGCAAGTTGAAGTTAAACTTTATAAACTTTACAATAAAGATTAATTCTTTATCCACATTCTTAACATATAAAATTCTGACAGCTTTCTAACAGTGCTAAATTATTTTACATTTTACCTTCCACTTCTAAGAATATCTATGAAACCACAGAATTTTGTTAAATTACATTGTCACTCCTGGAACACCTAGAAACAGTCTTTTGTTCTTCAAAAAGGCCAATTCTATTAAATGTGCATGCATTCCTATCTTGATGTCTTAGATAAAAATCTCAATTTATTCAAGTGTGAGCGCTCTATATATTTGCTGACTTTATTGTTGACACAAACAGTACAATTATTAAAAATTAATGCTAATTTTAAAATACTTAATTTATGCTGTAATATTCTATACAAAGCCATACCTACCTTAATACAGAGGTGGGCTTCAGCCAGTTTGGACCGGTTCAGGCAAACCGGTTGTTAAGATTTTGCACAGTTCAGAGAACCAGATAATTGCACCAATGGCTGGCCCACCCCGCCCTGCCTTATCTTGCCTCCCCTGCCTTGGCTAGTGGCTAGAGTCACTCCTGTGCCCAGCTACTCTCTGGCTCCTTTGCTTGCTCGCCCAGACCATGTGGCCCAGCTGATCTCCATGCCTCGCCCACTCTGCTCACCGCAGCTGCCCGTGAAGGTAAGGCGCTTGGCCAAAGGACTGCCTTGGGGTGGACAGCAAGGCTTGGATGCCTTTTAGGCCTGGTTCTTGCCATCCTTCCACCCACATGTCACCCACTCACCCTTTGCTTCAGATCAGGGGATGCGCCAGTTTCTGCCTTTCTAAAAGTACACCTCCCCCCCCACTGCCCCGCTTGCTCCCACATGTTTCCACCATGGTCTCATCCTTTGCTGAATGAGTTCGCTTACCTCTGCCCCATTTCTCCTCCTTCAGAGGCCCCTTACTCACTCTCCCCGCTTCTTCCCCAATGATTACCTCTTTCTTCATCCCGCAACCTTACCTTCCTCCCATGGCTGGTGGCAGAGGGGAAGACGAGCTCGCCTTCCCCCCTGCCACCAGCCATGGGAGGAAGGTAAGGTTGCAACTAATCAGGAAAGCTGAACTGCTGCCTAGCCCTGAGCTGCTAGCGGGGTGGGCAAGGCTGCAGCGCATGCCTCACTTGAAGTTCCCAGCACTTTGTTTAAAAATCTCCCAAAAAGAGAGAGGGGAGGAAGTCTCACCTCTGGCCCTTTGTTGGACCTGGGAGCCTTGCCTGCCAGCCTTTCTGGGCAACACAGGACCGGGCACAATCTTCCCTTCGCACCCAGTCCCCAGGAGACAGTCCAGGAGTACCTGGCGGACTTGGCCTAGGCAGGCTGGCTGGCTCACAAGGCGGTGGTGGCCGCCGGACTGGTGCTGAGATCGCCACTCAGGATGAAACCTGGATACAGTGGGCTGCCCTCACCTGGGCGGCTCCAAAATTAAATGCTTTCTTTTCTTGCAAGTATGTACAAACATCATTAAAGGGAGAAATGATAAATGAAGGAGAAGGGAACTTCTGTAACCAGAAAAACTGAGAATGAAAACAATGTATTCCAGTTAAATTAGAAGTGGTTCTTTGTGATGGATCTGTGAAAGTTTTGGAATATTGCAGTAAGGCACAACAAAAAAAGCAGAAAGATTTAATCAAAAGAGAAGAGAAAGAATGGTAATACATCCACTAATTGACTTCTTTGAAAATGCCTTTCAAATGTGTTTTCATTTACAATGGATTGGAAATATTTGCTTGACTATATGCTTTAATGTTCAAAAAGAATAAACTTGATCAGTATAAGCAGAGATGTTTTCTTCAAGCTTCAGCACATTTTGAAAAAAATCATTATGAATGCCACTGTAGAACACCATTTCTCACCAAAAATGCAATTTACTGGAGAGTAAAGTAAGATCTTACACATAGGCAATAAAAATACCAAATGCACAACTATAGAATAGGAGGTGCCTGGCTTAACTGGAAGTAACTGTGAGACGGATCTGTGAGATGGAAACTTATCAAACAGATCCAAACTAGAAATAAGAAGAAATTTCCTGACAGTGCGAACAATTAATCAAAGGAATGGGATGCCTTCAGAAGTTGTGGTTATACCATCACTGGAGGTTTTTAAGAAGAAATTTGTCCATAATAGTATAGAGTCTCATGCTTAAGCAGGGTTGGACTAGAAAACCTCCAAGGTCCCTTCCAACTCTTATTATTCTTTATAAATCTCTCCATTCAGACTTACCAAGAGGTGATAATGGTGATAACCAATATTTGGAAATGTACATCATGTGTTCTGATAGCAAAATCTCATCTTATTGGCTACTATCGAGGGGAAGATGACTTTGAAATAGCTTCCCCTCTCACCATAACATGCAAGATGAGGCAAGGACTGTCTGGGAGGGGAGGAGCGAGGAGAGGAGAGGCCAGGAGAGGTGCCCCTCAATGTGAGTGACATTGAGTTGGCCATGCCCATCCAGTCACATGCCCAACCAGCCACGCCCACCCAGCAGTCATTAGGGCAGAGAACCGGTTGTTAACTTATTAGAATCCCGTCACTGGCTTTATAGAAATATGATAACTATTTGGGGTGCAAGTTTTTGCAAAGAAAGTAAATAAACTACAAGCTTGATTAAATGGTGTTTCCACTAAACCATAATGATTATATATACTTTCTGAACTAGTAGCAGCTTTTTTCTGGAGAGCAGTTTTGGGAAGAACAGTAGGGTATACCCACTTCACATCTTGCTTGTGGATATAGATGTTAAAATGAATTCACAGTAGCACTTTGAGATGGGAGATTCTTTCTGTTTATAAAATCTGGACAATAAACATACCAGTTGCTACTTGAAAATTGGAAGCTGATAGTTGGAAGCCTGAGGCAGACTGAAAGGTAATCAAAACTATCTTGCTTGAAAAATCTACATCTACAGGTTTATATATTCCACTGGAGGGAGAGAAACACACTTTGTAAAACGCCTACTGTAATATAGGATATTACTAATAAAAGAGAAATACTGGTTTCTTTGCAAAAGATCTACGTCATATGTTTCCCATTTTAATTTAACTTTCTGGAAATATGTATAATTGGTTGTTTGTTAACATTCAAGTATTTTCTTAGTCTAAGAGCTTCCCACTGACATTTTGCTAGCTGCTGTTAGAAAAAGAATGCTTCTGTAGCTGAGATTTTTCTCTGATCTAGCAGAAGTATTCTTATGCTCTGAAAGATATTTTCTTACCTATACCTGGGAGACATTATTATTTTTGGATTTCAATAAACTGTAGCTAAGGGCAGTCAAATATGGTATAGTTGTTAAGATGTTATAATTCTCAGAATTTCTAGATAGCACTGTACTACAACAGGTACTGTAGGTGAGAGCCAGTTTGGTATAGTGGTTAAAGCAGCAAGCTAGAAACTGGAAGACCATCAGTTCTACTCCTGCTTTATGTATGAAACCACCTGGATGACCTTGGATCAGTCACTTTCTCTCAGCCCTAAGAAGCAAGTAATGGCAGACCACTTCTGAAATCTTGTCAAGAAAACTGCAGTGATTTGCCCAGGCAACCGCCAGAAGTCAACTCAAAAGTACAATGCAATGTACTGTAGGTAAACATATATTTTGGGAAACATTGAAAAAAGTTCATTCAAGTAATATTAAATTAGGTAAATGCCTTAGGACACTTATATATGTGTGTCTGTGTGTCTGTGTGTGTGTACATATATGTATATGTATGTATATATGTATATATGTGTGTGTTCATAAGAATCACACATAATTATTTTGTGATTTCTAATGCCAACAACATTGTAGACAAGAACTATTATGCAGGTTTTAATAATGTTTAATTTGTTAGAAATACACTATAAGAAGCCTTTAACAAGGTAGCTTTCTGTATTTTTGGAATATAAAGGTACATGTTGACCCTGTTCAGGATAAGAAGCATTGCTATCTAAAATGTGATGCATCCCAATTCAAAAAGTTTGGGCAGGGTGCAACTAAGCAATTATATAAACGCATTATTAAAATGATTCAGATTCAGATATTCAGCCCACACAGGGCATATTACATTTTAGCAAGCAATGCTTATATATGCTATATATACTTATATATTGCTATATATATATACTTATATATAATATAAGGCTATGTTTGTTTGTTTTGTTTGTTTAATGTATTGGCCGCCCAATAAACTTTTAAGAATTAGGAGGAGGAGGAGCAGGAGAAGGAAGAGGAGGAGAAGCAGAAGAAGGAAGAAGAGGAGGAGGAGGAGAAGCTCTACCAACTGCATG